TCCTGCTGACACATTGTTCTGCCGTTAACCCCTAAAAGGTCCAAGGAGAAAACATCAATTTGACAACGTTGCCTTCTACAGTCATTTTTAATATTCTGGCTCCGTACGCCTCACAAATGTTGGCACCGTTGTCATTTTTATGTCAGAATCCAAGGTCCGTTTTACATCACAAGAAGCTAAAATATAAACTTTTCTGACCACAGTACAGTTCTAATTATCACAAGAAGCTAAAATATAGACTTTTCTGACCACAGTACAGTTCTAATCAGAGAACTTAAAACAGTTTCCACAAAAAGATAAAATAAAGACAGTGTTAGGTGACAAACCTGCCAAGAGAGGAACTTCTAGGCCCTGTTTCTTCCAACTTTTAAATTATAGTAATATGTTTGTCACTGAAAAAACAAAAACTTCCCCGTCCTTCAAAATGTTCCTTTATTTTTGAAATAATTTTAAAGATGTCTGTTGTCAGTTTTAAATTAAATAAGCTAAAAAAAGTTTAACTTAATTACCCTAAATATCAAATGTATTTTCAAGTAAACAGACCTCAAGATCACACTACCTCTGGGGTTCACAGATGTTATGTATTATTCACTGGAAAGGCATTAGGAAAGCCATTAGTCTGTGTAACCTCCAGTTGGTTGGGTTTTACAAATACCACATACATATACCTTCAATCCAAATGTGAAACCATCGGTAAATTCTATCAACTTATAAATACGGCAAATGCATTCAAGTATTCATGAAGGCCCTAATAATATGTAGGCGGATATTTACATAAAGCACTCGCACACTAAGTCAAGATAAACTATTTAAGACCTGGACCACAAATACCACCACACTGCAGAAAAAGGAGGGTGCTAGGATGAAAGGGGACATTATGCTAACAAGTCAGATTACTGTACACAATAACTTTATCTTTAAAGTAAATACCATCTTCGGTGTTGGAGAAGGAGGAGCATTATGAAAAGTCACCGGGAATATGTCTGTGGGGACCAAATGCATCCTTATCAGTGTAAGTCGAGCAATTCAGGCCTGCCCGAAGAAAGACGAGTCTTCAAACTCATTCTATTCATGGTCAGACGTGTAATTACCCTCGGCTCACAGTCTAGACGTAACCGCTTTCACAGTATTTAAGACCCCCTGTGCAACGTGCGGATACCGCCTCCTACAAGCGAGCCCTGCACGTTAAATCTGTGGGCAGATAAATTAGTGAAGAATGCAATAAAATAGACACAATGAGAGGAACTTTATCCTCCACACTGCTAAATGAGATTTCTTTGAAATGCAGATCAGTGCCTCTAGATTAGTGAATTTTAGCTGCTGTCAACATCATAACAAAATACAAATGCGATTGTTCACCGCTGCCTTATCTCCTTGCTTCCATCTGCTGGCTGGTTATTTACTCCCCCTGATTTACTATGCAGATCTAAATAAGTCGCATCAAAAGGAGGGCTTACTGCACAATGCGTTCTTAAGCTTCTACATCAAGGTATTTGAAAAAAGAAAACTGGTAGTCACATTAAAAGGCTGCCCATCAAAGGCCCATCTCTAATGAACTTTCCCATATCACAGGGGGCTTCTGCAGCTTGCTCATAATGCTGTCGATGTGCTGAGGAGACCATCTACAAATTACACCTACCAGGGGGAGTGATTGAGAATAGAGGGGGACGGTGAATTAAAGGTGTCCCATGAAAAGAAAAGGCAGCAGAACCCTAAGTTATCAGAAGCTCTAAGCTCGGGCAAAACCCCATAACAATTGACATTAGCTTAGCACATAGTCTAGCACTTTTCTCAAGCAATCTGCCCCAAGTCTAAGCTCGGGCAAAACCCCATAACGACACTACAATAGCACTTGACTGGAGGAGATACAATAGATTATATGAGTCTAAACACAGATCAATTAAAGTGGCTCACTTGAGTCCGAGATACTTATAACAGCAGATCAACTCAGAAATCATACAGGAGGGTGGGGTGGGGGTGGGGGATTCTTGGGGATGGCCAAACACTGGAATGAAAAACAGATTGTGCTGCCATTCTTATTATTGTTTCACGTCTGGAAACATTGTTGTTAATCTCAAACAGAGCCTTGCATTACGCTCCAGCAATAACCCGCAATTTCATGATGCATTTGTAGCTCTGAGTACACAGGGTGGATTACAACCGACAATCTTTGCACTTGTGTGGTAAAAATAAACTGTGTGTAAAGATCATGATCTGTAACCTCCCCCCCCCCCCCACACTCCCATCAGCAGCACTGCCACCATCCTGCTTTAGTGCAGAGTGTCTATACAAATGGGAGACCCCCACCAACAAGCATGCAGTGTACCAGTGAACAATTAGCCCTGCAGCAAGAGCATGCTCGGCACTGGCACATGTGGTTAAGAGGCGTGAGCTACGGGGCAGCACCATATGATGAAGGGAGGAGTTGGATGGTTGGGGGGGGGGGGGGGGGGGGGCTGGCAGGGGAGGTGTTTGACGTGTGCCAGACACGTGTTTGCTAGTTTGTCAGCTACTGGGTTTGTCCTTTTTGATTGACTTCCAGATACTCTTTGCAGCGGAGATAAAGACACATAATTGAGGGTGTTAACACCTCCTGAAATTCAAGAAGCCCTCGACTTCGAATTTTGGGAGGGCATCCAGATTACAGTAGGATGTAATGTGAAGGCATCCAATGGCTCCATCCTTTCAGAGGAGACACTCCTCGTCCCTCCTCTTCTCTGCCCGGAGCATCTTTCTGCTTTGTAGCATGCCAACTGGGCCCAATGCCAGTCACATTTGCATCCACAAGGGACCTTTGTCCTTTTGGCATGCCTAATGGATTGACAAAACAACGGATTTGCATATGCAGAAACAGGTGTTGTAACAGGTTTGATTGCCATGCACTCAACCTATGTTAAAAAGGGAAATGGCAGAGAACAAAAACAAAATCATGCAAGAAAGGTATAAGTTTATGATCAACAACTGCCTGAAGGTTTTTAGGACGTGATAAGCTACAGGGCTGTACCATCTGCCTGGCTCCCTGCCAGAAGTGACAATCTAAATTAAAACCCACTCATCAAAATATTATAAAAATAAACCATTGTTTTACTAAGTCCATATGTTGGGTCAGTTTTGTTTGGTTCCCTGAGAACAGTAATGGAGGTTGGATTTCTAGGCCTATAGCTGTGATCCAGCAAAAATCCACAGAGCCGTACAGTAGCCTGTAATTACCCTTCTAGCGATCTGCCGTCTTCAGACCAAAGCCCTGCGTCACCCTAAACACTGTCCAACTCCATCCTCTCTGTACTACTGAGGAGAAAGTGTTACCGAACCAATGTGGTGACAAGGCTATTGTTTAGAGCGGTTTAGGGACCCAGATCTATGAGTACAGGCTTGGCTTTCTGGATGTTGCAAGAAGCCAAAATCACTACACTTTACTTGCTTGTAAAAAGATATCTGCTGTAAGGATTTATGCCAATCGCATCTCAATGTAGACCACAAATGTTGTAGTTAGGGGTTAGTGACTATAAAACAAACACACAAGCCATTCATTAGTCTAAATGTCAATTGTCTCCCTTTTGCATTCGACCAAATGTTGTCTTGGTTTGTCTCAAGATATATCTATTTGTCATGTACTAAAGGACAAAGGTAAACTAACATCACGCAACCCCCCTTTTTGTTTTGCCTCCTCTTTATTTTTATTTAGATGAGTGAGACAGAAGGAACAAACCTGAGACAGTTGTGACCCTGCGTGAGCGCTATGACTTGGTCCTGTGCTACGCCAGCAGAAGGTAGAGCCATATGCCCCCAGCCTCGAGCTGGATGCTCTTTCAGCAGCCTAATGTGCCTGTCAAAATCTGTTATTGTCATGCCCCACTTGTGTTTTTTTGTACATGTTTGGAACAAACATTTCTTATTTTCTTTTGTCTTTCAGTGTAAAATGAAGAGGTCTTTCTAGGTCTGGGTCACTGTCCATTCATCAGCATCCCGACTTGAACCAAACAAATGTCTGCACTACAACACTGACAAAGTTGTCTGAGGCAAATTAAAAATAAACATTTATGAAGATTGTAAAATAAAAACCAGACATGTAATTCAAACATCGCACATAATCTCTCTGACTTTTACAGCATTACTGGAAAGCCTTTTTAAACTGTTACTTTTTTTTTATAAATGCAAAATTTATTGGCATGCCTGTATGCTTACAAGTGACAACTTGGCAGCTGAGTGCACTATGAACACCATGTTTTTGTTGTTTGTTTTTTTTAAATCAATAACACTAATAGAAGCTGCAGTGCATTCACACTATGCTGACCACAAAGCATACATGCAATTCTAATCTTGCTTTGTAGATTAATGACAACACACAGAGAGCTACAGCCCCACCGCCTGTGGCTGCTGTACAGCATGACTGCATGCTGTACTGTAGTTTTGTCACAATGCCTGGTCAGCTTGTGTCAAAAAAAACAAAATAAGGGTCCAAGGTAATAGCAGTTTCAAGTTACAGCTAAAATTAAGACAGTCAAATCCAAAAGCTAATGCTGCCAAATGCTGGTAAATTACAAAGTCTACAAAAACATATGAGTAGTTTGACATAGTTTAGTGAGATATAATGTACAACCAAACCAGAGGTTTGTTTATTACAAGGCACAAAAGTCCCTCTCTGTTTCACAACTGCACACACTGTGAGGTTATGAGCGACGTCCAAAAGCTGCAATTTTTGTCTCATCAGAGTTGTGTAATTCGTTTGTGGCTTTTGAATCACTACAGGGAGGTATAATGAGGTTTAAATCGAAAATCTGCAAAACAATCACCGCATCATATTTTGACTCTTATACGATTAGTTCTCTGTAAACACATGACCACAATGATTTTTTCCCCCCACTCAATTATAGAATCATAAAACCTTATGTATTGACTTTAAAGGAACAGCGTATAAAAATCTCCAGACATACAAGTTAACAAATTCACTGTTTCCAAAATGTATGGAGATGCAGACAAGAAGAAGTCTAAAATCGAACTAGGTGAACTAAATCACTGACGTGGTAGGTGGCAGTATTACGAAAAAAAAAAAAACATGCTAAAAGCACCAGTTTAGGAAAAACAGCTGACTATTGGAGGTTACTTTTTTTTTTAAACAAGAATGAGTTGTAACATTTTAATTTTTTTTAATTATCTAAACAAGAATGAGTTGTAACATTTTAACTTTTAGGTCAACAAATCAATACAAGGTGTATTTACATTTTGTCGAGATAATACGTTACAAGATCAAATTTATGTAAAGCAAACAAAAACCCATACATGTCTCCATATAGCAAAGTATTTATAATGCACCCTCTACAGAGGAAGAAGAGGAAACTACATCATGTGTGTTTCAAACAGTAACCTGAAATTTTGTGCATATTTAACCTTTCACAAAGCACAGGATGCAGCTATTTGCCCTGCAAAACAATGACCATAATCAAATCAAGTAAATGACTTAAAGTGACTTTTTTCTTCAGATAATTCTTAACTCCCCTTATGTGGACACCCTGCAATCTCCCTTCTAATCCTCATCTCCTGACCCCACCCTGCACAGCTTTCTCTGGCCAACAAGTCACAATGTTTCTTGCTTACGACCGTCGGGCTTCAGAAGTGACCCAAAGCGTAACTAAAAAAGTCTAAGCTGTCTCAAGACTCTTAGTAACTGGGGCACACAAAACATCATTACCCTGATGTGGATAATTACAGTGCAAAAGGGTGGCCTCTTAAGCATGTAATACACTCTTTTATCTCAAGAAGTCAATCTTTCCAAAGCTGACAGCTCGCAGCATATGATCCTGGTAAACAAATACTTTTGCGCGGCACAAAAGTGCCATTAAAGGCCAAAACTGTCAACACAAATTCCATTCTTACTTGGGGGAGGAAAATGGACTGAGAGCAAGGGGAGAGAAGGGAGGGAATAGAAGGGGTGGAGGGGGGGACTTGATCACTTCTGGTTGCTTTAACTTGCATGGAGGTTGTCATGGAAACATTTCTACGAAGTTGACGGGAATAAAACCTGGACATTTGCCATTTAATTGCCTTAGACAAGAAATCCAGGTTAGCACTAGACCAGTACAGTATGTTCAGGTTATGTAGATGAACTGAGATCTAATAGACTGCGAGATGCTGAGCATCACTGCACGCTCTTTTTCTAAACAACAAGTATTGGGGACATTGCGGGTTTCCTAACTGGGGTGTCTCAAGACCTGATAAATACTCATTTTTCTGAAGTTTACAGGATGTATTCATTTGCATGTGGCCCATATTGTCTTTTGTGAATCCCCTGCAATGCACAAAAACTTCTCATAGGACCCTGAGAATTCTAAACACAAAGCATTTCTGCCCCTTTCAGCTACGGGGAGAGCAACAACTTCCACATCTGGGATAAAAACCATGCATCAACCAGTGCTCATTGAGCTGAAAGCTGAATCTTAATTTTGATAAATGATTGAAACGTATGACAGGGTATACACATTAATCCTGTGGAGGACATTCATTTTCCTATTACCATAATGTAGAGCATGACCGCCCGATGATAAATGTAGCAATCAAAAAATGGATGCAGAGTGGGGAGAGTCAGAGTAATAAGTGCACCGCTCCCAACGACGGTCAGTCTTCCAGGCAGACTAATTGCACGTCCGTTTCCATCTCTTTCTCATTGCTGAAGCAAGAATGTTGACCTTACTTACCGTACTATCTACCCTGACAACAAGTAAACATGAGACCACTGACTGTTTTAAGCGCGCTTTAAAAAATGATTACTGGGCCGCCTCCACAAAGGGCTTGATTGTGCATTGCCGCTGACATATTTCACTGGGGGCATTTATTGCCGTCTGGCCTTTGAAGAGTAAGAGCTACTGAGTGAGGGGGGAACTGGCCCACACCTGCATAACTGAGGAGGGAACACCTGTGCACCCTGCGGCTTGAACAGAGAGGGTCGGTGCAGCTAATCCAGGGGTGAAAGCTGATCAGTGGACAGGCCTGGAGAGTTCAGTAGCTCCCACTACACTGTTAGCTATCTTCACAGAAACAAAGTAACATTTATTGATTTTTTTTTTTTTTTTTTTTGAGAGACTACGGTGATTTCAAAGGGGACAGTGACAGGGGCAGTATGTGTTAAGTCAGGAAATAAGATGGTTTTTAGTGCTAATTCTAATTAAGTTTAATTTATTGTATATCACAAGGATACTGCCACCAGGGACTGTATTTGTTTCTGGACATTAAAAATGGAGCATGCCAGAACGGTAAGAGCGTTGACTGATGATAATCATGGATGCCAATTACAGAGATTCAGCTGTAAATTATCAACAATAGTTGAATATGAATTGCAATATATATTTTAATTTAGTTGACAGTACTGTAGAAGACAGAGCTTATAAATAAGGAAAAAATCCCAAATATATTTTTTTCAAATGTCATAAATCCACAAGGCTGATATAAAAGCGATTTTAAAAAATTGATAAAACTTTAAATGGAAAAAAACGTCAAAAATTGAAACGTACTTACATTTAAAGCCTTGTTTTGTACAGATGTGAAAAGATTTTATAGCAAAACACTAGATAATATACCTGTGACAAGCTGACAAAATGTGTAATTTGTGACGATTCCTCCTGAATCAATAAATTACAGCCGTAAATCAGTTTTAAGTAACGTAAATACACAACTAGACGGTAAATACAGAGACACACGTTATAGTCAAATAGTATGTTTAACACACGTCATTATGATTTAAATTTAGCATATTTTTAGCATATAATTAAAAAAATTATATTTTTTTATCTTTTTTAATGCCCTAGTCACAATAAGGAAATTTTCAAGCCGTATTTTAATAACAACCTGTGTGGAGGGTGTTTTTTTTTTTTTGTTTGTTTTTTGTTTTTGTAAAGTCATTGCCGTTAAATTCGCCTGGAACTCTTTTGTCCGTAGACCGACACACCAGTTACAAAAAAAAAAAGCCGAATAACAACCGTTACCCTGACCGTGCCATATTTCAGACAGCCGTTTAAAATGACAGGAATTCGACGTTAAATAAATTCGCGGCTGAACAGTTGAAAAGCGCTGGACTACAATGGAGACGGTGACGAAAGTTTTTCGGCCGATGCTGTGGTCACTTCCTAATTCAAGTGCAGTGGACAGACAGAGGAGCGGAGTATCACACAAAAGTGAGTACGCAGACAGAGAAATAAGCTCTTAGGGCTTTGGGGGAAGAAAAAAAAACTTACCAGAAGGAGGTGGATAACAAAAACGGCAGGTATATTTATATAGCTCCCTTTACGGCAAAAAAGTCAAAGGGACACGCCAGGTGAGAAGTCGCCGTCCTCTGGACTTGTAGAGCTGTTCACACGTGACTGCCCAAGTTCACCATAACGCAGAGAAAAACGAACAACAAGCAGCAGAGTAAATAAAAAGCTCAAATATTCCTCCGCTGGGCACCGCTGTCGGAGACACACACATACACACTCTGCCTCTCTCTCTCTCTCTCTTTCTCTCTCCCTCTCTCTCTCTATCTCTCTTGCTGTCGTCCGTCAACGCTGCTGTTATTACTAATGCAATAGAGGGAAAAGCAGTACAACCGAGCCCCGATTGAATGACGCGCAATGCCAGGAAGAAGCCGCTTATTTTTTTCTTTTCTCTTTTTTTGACTCGTTACGATTCAAACACACATCAAGCTGTATGCTGGCAAGCAAGCAAGTATATTTGGGACTAGAACCCCCCACACGCACCACCACCACCACCACCACCACTCCACTCCTACCCCAGGGGAGGCACTTGCTTGTGCGCGGAGGTGGTGTTGTTATTTTTGGGCGTACTGCGACCCCGTGCGACTTCAGGCCAGGGCCACCTGTTATGTAAACAACGATAAAAGTGTTTGTAGAACTTAGTTTTCCTGCGTTTAAAAAAAAAAAACATTTCCAGGTTCCGCTATTTTATCGGCGGCGTCCACACGGTAGACCAAGCTCAGGCGCAAGTTAGGCATCGTTATTGTCGGGGAATGGAGCTGTAAACTCGCCGGTATCGAGTCCAAATCCGAGGGAGAGAAATTAGTGTGCAGGTCGGAAAAGTATTTTCCCAGTATCAGAAAACAACAATACCTGTATTTCATGCAAATAAAAATAATTTAACAAAAATATAAAAAGGGAACGGTGCAATGAAAAAAAAACAAATTGTCACAAATTCCGATTAGGTCAAACGTAGTCTAACCGCAGCAGTTCATCGCATCAACACCAAATTCAACTACTAGAATTCCTAGTTGAAAAAAATATCCTTTGGAAGTGTTTACATACTAATTATCAATTAAACACACCTGCATACGCTTAAAACCAAACATTTCCCCAATTAGGTCCAAAATACTCCGACCATCAGCACCTGCATTTCTATGATATTTGTATTCAATGATCGTACATTCAGCACCTTTTACATTTGATTCATATATTAAAAACTACGCGCATTAATGTCCTATACAGTGAATAATTTAAATAAGACAAAAATTATAGAGAGTATGTTTTTATATAAATTATCAGACACAAATATTGTTCCCTAAATTGAGATTCTCAATATTATCCTTTAGAAACATTTTGAAGACTATTAGTAACATAACTGTAAATTCGACCACTTCCACCGCTTGAAAGATTAGCTTTCTTCCACCCACTGTGTATTTTCCCGTTTCTTTTACACTGCTGAGGCGTTCACGGTCAAGAAATGAATGATCAGATTATCATCAACTAGAGAAAACAAAAGGGTGGAGCGGGGTTTTTTTTTTCTGTGTGAAAATGCACCAAACGCCAGAAGTCTATCACGAATCATTTCCTCTGTTGTCAACATTTCCATTCTTGCATAAATTGCGTTATTTGTTTTCTTACCCAGATCAGGAAAAAGTGATTTAAGAATGAGAACTCCTGAAACTGAGCTTAATGTCACACAGTGTGAAGTTATCGCTTTGTGTTGAATTCGTAAATAAACGCCCATAAACAATAAACACATTTAAAATATTTTTGCGTATAATTGTGTAAAATTATTTATCAACACCGAAAATAATAGAAAGCCTGAAACTTGAAAATGTATCCTGTTTGTTAAATATATACTTTTTATGAATTGTAATTACTTTATGAAATGATATGATAATTTGATAAATATCGTTCGAATGTTTCAGTCAAATACTTACGCCCGGTGCATTGTTTCAAATGTTGTGTTATTTAAAACATACTCAAATTTAAATAATACTAAACTGAATAAAAAAACATTAAATATTAGCATGGTAAAACATCTGTATTGTAATATTGAGTATAAAAAACAGTTGGAGCGAATAGTGGTTGTTTGCTGCCACCTACTGATTCTTAATGGCAATGCTGTAGCTCCAAGTTTAAAGCGGAGGCATGTGACTGTAAACAGCCTGGAATTGTCTTTTGTACTTAACAAATTTATATTTTTTTCATATGTTAATATCAATATATGACGTCATTGTCACAGTAAAGGTGCGAGAAGAAAAATGCAAATTGATTTCTCTAATTTGGGAAGCAATTGAGACCAACTTTGGTGATATAGTGCCATCTACTGATACTCAACAGACATGTCCATTTTCTTCTCTGAAAGACAGACATTTTACTCTGTCTTTTTCTCTCTTGAAGTTTGTCAGTTTTTTCTTTATTTAGCGTGTCGTGTTGAAAACGTTACCTTACTGATGACGTATCGTTGGCTCCTTTCCCAAAGCCTCCAATCGACAACTCCTACCTCAAAGCGGCCATTAAAGTCAAAAGGAGGAAATATTTGGGCTGCAAAAATCCCAACAAAGAATCTTTTGAGGGCCAAAAGCTGCTCCTGTGAGAGATCATATGACAAGCTCCTCAGTCTGTTTACAATCTTTATTGGATTCTGAGGTTTGGGTTACACTGCATATCAAGGACTGGTTAAATTAAACTTCCTACCTGAGACGCTGCTGTGTGCACACAGGAGCCGCTGGCCTTATACGAACACAATAACTTTCATTCTTCTTGTCCAAAATGCAGTGAACCTAAAAGGGAAGATCATGTTTTTTGTCAATGATATAATTGTCCGTAAGAGCGCAATTTTTTTTGTCACGATGTTGATCTAAATGTAGAGACCTTTTTTCTTCTTCTGTGGATTCCACATGACATGTAGTCGTCAGCGTAGGAATCCTAAAGCACAAAGGATGAGATGTGAACATGTTGTTGGTTTTTTTTTTTAGAAAGAAATATTTTCTTAATAAACATTTGGAGGAACGGAAGTTGTTGTAAATTTGCTTATTTTTTCCAGATTTGCCCTTTAGTTTAAGCTTGAAATTTACACCTCGTTCTTAACATCCTACTAGTACAGTACAGTATACCTGGGCTGGTAGTATACCTAAAGTACTCTGGTTTCATTGACATTGACCCAAAAGCAAGCAAAACAAAATGCTAAATGCTAATTGCTAATGAGTTTGAGCCTTTAATTCCCAACCAATAGGAAAAAATGTACATTTTACATTAGGAAAGACACATGACACAGGCGGGAAAAATAATTGTTTTACAGATGTGTGAAAGGCCAATGGACAGAAAGATACTGACCAGACGGCTATGTTAAAAAAATTAAACAACATTCCAGTTCCTAGTTCCTCACCTTCCTCTGCTACGGTGAGAATCTCCAGTAGCCAAATATTCCTCAATTGAATAATTTATATTCAATACTGTATGTTTTTAAGTCTTTGTTTCTAGAGTTTTTGTCTTCCCATCACAATTTTGGCAGGTATGGGCCACGCACCCCATCTTTAGGTCCATTCCTTTCTGTAAAAGCCAATTTTTTTAATCTCTTTCTTTTGAACAACAAACATATTGTGGGGACAGGATTACAACCAGGCACGGTCTAGTTATATGCATCCTATTTATAGTGCTGGCTCACAGTGTTCAGCTGTAACCCAACTCCATCTGTCAAGTCACGTCCTCTGAGCGCTCTCCCTTCTACAGTAGCACCACCGCTACAGGCCGCAGACACTCTGGTCTGAGCCGCCGTCACAGCCACACAGACAGCTGTCTCTCTGTCCGACCGCACAAATATGGAGGCTCTGTATGTGCAAACCCTGACAGACGACGGGGTCTTTGTAAGAGAAGAGGGAGAGAAAAGGGGGAAACAGGAAGTGGAAGGAACACAGGCTCTGTCGGCCTCGGGCTCCAGCACAGATGAGGAAACGGACGAGGACTCAGAACCAGAACCAGAGCCTCCACCGTTTGTTCGTAGGAAGGTGTCATTTGCTGATGCATTTGGTCTGAACTTGGTGTCAGTGAAGGAGTTTGACAATGTAGAGGTGGCAGAGCTGCCGGTGATTGAGCCACCAGAGACGGAAGCAGGCTTGGCTTTAGAGGAGTTCTACATCTCCTGTCTGTTTACAGTCCCTTCATCCCAGGAGGAGCTGGACCAGAAGCTGAAGACACAGATGGTCGAGCTGGAGAGCTTCCAGTTCCTCCCAGGGACCACCACGCTGCGTGGCATCATCAGGGTGGTCAACCTCTGCTACAATAAGTCTGTGTATGCACGGATCAGCCTGGACCGCTGGAAGAGCTACTTTGACCTGTTGGCGGAGTACGTGCCCGGATCCAGTGACAGGAAAACAGACAGGTTCACTTTCAGGTACACGCTGATCCCTCCCTTCGCAAAAGAGGGCACTAGAGTGGATTTCTGTCTGCGTTACGAGACGTCACTAGGCACATTCTGGGCCAACAACAACAAAATGAACTATGTGCTGTTCTGCCACCAAAAGGCTCAGGTGAAAGAGCAGGGGAGTGTGGGGTTTGAGGAGATTATCAGCCACAGGAGCAAGAGGAGCTGCCTCAAAGCTAACAGGTGACAGAGTCTGACAATGTAACCTTTTATTTTAAACATGCCTCAGCTGAAGGCATGTAAACAATCGACGTCAGTGCAGATCCACTAATATTATGTTTACACGACGAGGATGGATTGGGGTTTATTTTTTCTCCATCATTAGGTGTTGTTTGACAGAAAGATAAATGACCAAAACATCGGTCTACAATTAAAGCAAAGCCCCAAAGACCTGCTTATTTTGGTCTTTGGTCCCAGACAAGAGTTCATTGTGCAGGATTTTAGATTTGGACAGCTCGGGCTGCACAGCAGTGTCCATACAAGGACAAAGTGTGGAAAGAAAAGAGAAATATTTATTTATTCTCTGACGTCGCTCCAATTTTTTTTTTTGGCATCTTTACAGGAAGAGTATTTATGTAATTATTACAAGAAACACTGTGTGATGAGTACTGTGTGTATTTAACGTCATCACAATCATTTTTGAATCACAGGAGGGGAAGTGCCGAGGAACAGGCCAAGGAGACAAGTAGCACAACAGTATCCACAGGTGTGTTGTGTGTGCATGTGTGTGTGTGTGTGTTTAGGAGAACATACTAAAGGCTTGTAAATCCATGACCTTTTCATCTGTAACACTGCAGAAGCACCCACTCTTTATAAAGATGAGGAGACTGATGAAAAGGCGACGGTGAGCTCACAGATCTCGTCATCAAATGACCTCAAAAATCGCAGAACTTCAGTAAGAACTTTGTTTTATCAGAAGTTATATTTCTGCTGTTCCTAAACTTTAACTGCACTCGAGTTTTCTGACCACTACGTCTCGAAAAGCTACAGGTTGGAAGAGTAAAAAACAAGGTAGAAAAGCAATTATTTGGCTGCCAATTAGCTTGATGCTACAACATGTTGTCACTATGACAATTTATAACTCATCATGACTTCATTTTGAGGGTTGAAATGCTTGTGTTTCTTTTGTTACAGAGGCCTGTGTTAGGCAGAACTTTATGTTGCACAGTGCTTGTAACAATATTTTGGGCATCGTCATACTTGGAAATCATGCAGCCGTGATGGTGTTTGGAACATCCAAAGTACTAACTGACCTTAGAAATCATCCAAAGTACAACTGAACACAAAAAAACTATTCCTAACTACCCACGGCTGTTGAAGAAGATATTTGTAAAAAATAAAGTAGGAGAATAAATGGGTCTTCCAACAGGACCTACACCAACTGAGCCAGCGATAAATGCCAGTCTTGCACAGCGAGTGATACTCAGAAGGGCATGTATCTGCTGACCCGACACCGGAGAACATGCTAAAATCACCCACGTGTAAAGTGTTAAAAATAAAAATAAAGGCTGGGTGTAAACCTGCAGTACATTTGATAATGTAAACAAAACAACGGTTCAGGGCCGAGGGTCTGCGGCTGACTGAGACGTGAAAATCTATTTATATAAAGTGGACATTTTTGTACACGTGGCTCATTAAGCAGTGAACAGCCTCCAAGACTAACAAAATACTACGCAGGGCGCGATAGGCTTTTACACTTCAAATAGTTTTTGAGCATAAACACCTGACCTGACCTTTGCCATTTCCTACAGGTGGATAACGTCAAAGGCTGGCAGAGAACGCCACGCTTGATCCGTGTGCCGTTCCCTCGTTCCCTCCAGAATGGACAAATACCTTTGGCCTATTCACATGACTCTGCCTCAGGCCAAAAGGTGTCTCAGCCTATGCCACGCTTGATCCGTGTGCAGGATCGTTCCCTCCAGAATGGACAAGTACCTTTGGCCTATTCACATGACTCAGCCTCAGGCCAAAAGGTGTCTCAGCCTACGCCAACTCCGTGGTGTCATCCCGCAAGCATTCCCTTTAGTCTCCACAAGAAGGCAAACAACAGTCAACAGGTTCTCACCTACCATCAGATTCCACTGCTGACGCTGGACTACAACGATAAACAGGACATTTGGGATAAAGATGCTAAAACCAAGTTCAAGGAAAATACAGAGGACAATCAGTCTGTGAGTGATTTGTGGGAGAGTTTTCTCAAGGGGACAGATGCTGCTAATGAACAAGAACCATCAGTGTTGGAGGTGTGGCAGTCATTTCTCAGCGAGCCCAGCTGTAAGGACCACTCTACTGTTCCGGAGTCAGAATGGCTGCAAAGCGCCACCTCCGTGTCTCCCTCCAATCCAAACATAACAAGCAGTGTGGCATTTCCAGGACTTCAGGTGGAGAAGGATGCACCCGCGTTGGTACAGGCAGAGACCTCGGCGGCATGTCACCCACTGTCCGACAAATGCAGGGCGTCGTTGTCTAAAGTGGTCCTGAACACCGAGGCCCAGCTGCCAGCAGGTGCACGTGTCAGCAGGGCAAGGGATGACAACGCGGGGACACAAGATGCATCTCAAAGGTCACAGACAAACTCCCTAACAGACACTTTGCAGGAATTTAGCCCTGAGGGGGCAACGGCTGTGTCCAGGGGTGGTGTTGACAGTTCGGCAGAGCGTCAAGAGCGTGCATTCTGGGAGCAGGTGGGAGAGGGAATAATAAGAGCAGCAGAAGGAGCAGGAGAAGATGAGCCTGTCAGAGTGCACACAGCTGACTTAGTCACAAGCTCAGGGGAGTGGAAGACAACAGACATGACAGCAATGCCAGAATCTCAGAATGCCAGCACTGTTGATGTTATCTCACAGAGAGCAAGACCAGGTGAGGGTCTTTCTTCCAGTGGAGACGAGGAGGGTACAGGTACTGCACACAATACGCCGGCTGACACGCTGGCATTTAGGGAGACAATCAGACAGGGGACAAAGAGCAGGGAGGGGTTTGTCTTTTCTACATCCAGACAAAGAGCAGAAGAAAATATCATGACAAAGTGTATGGAAAATGAAGTATGTGCAGGGGAGACGATATTTAGCCTTCCCTGTGAAGAGGAGCGTGATTCCAGAGGCTCCCAGAGGTATGCAAATGACACGCAGGGTGAGGAATTTATTCCCGTCCAGAAGAAAGGAAATCCATTACTGGAGAATGAGGGAGGCGTAAATGGAACAGGAACAGCACACGAATTCAATCCAAACCAAACTTGTGAGGAAAATATTAGAGCGAGCCGCGTAATGAGAAGTGAATTCCAATTGCGTGAAACAGAAAACAGAGATATGGCATCAGGTAACAAGGATCTGGAGAGAGTCGGAGCAGAGCAGGTGGAAAATTCCTACTGTACAAAACCCGACTCAAAGAGACTAATTAGTGCAGAATCAGAAATGACACCACTCGCGGCGGAGGCGCAGAGACGTGCTCAGAGGGGAGACACGTCGATGAATCCGCCAGCGCAAGGTAAACATTCAAGGTCAATCCGAGCGGAGGTGGAGGAACCAACACAAACAGAGGGAATTGAACCCGCAACAAAGGCAGGTGATATTGACTTAGTCTCAAATATGACAGAAGTGAGTGAGAGTTTGATCAATTGCGGAACAAATGAGGAGGAACAGGAAAATTCTGCGATTTTTTCAACTGCACTGGAGGTGGTAGAAAAGACAGAGGAATCACCCCAGGGGGTAATGAAGGGTCAGGGGGAGCACACAGGCTCACACATCACCCGTAAAGAAGTTCTGGCAAATTCAGGGCGAGACGCTTCCAATCTAGATAAGAGTCAGAGTCACGATGATGAAAAAATGGGAGATGCAGAGATGAGAGCAGAAGGAGCATGGGAGATGAAGGCCCCTGAGTGTGAGATGAGGGAGGCGTCAGCTGAATTAGAAGAACAAGGTTTGACGCCAGACGTTGAGAATGTTTTTCCCGTTGAACACAAAAAGCATCCAGAAGGGACAAAGGTACCGATCTTGGCAGGTAAGACTGTAAAACCCAAAGTCTCAGAGTTGAAATCCGAGGCTGAGATGGTGGAACGATTTGGTGAAGATTTGTTGAGGAGGATTTGGGAGGAGGTGTTTGGCCCAAAGGCCATGAGGAGCAAACAAGCTGCAGAGAATTCAAGCGATACAATCATGACAGAAACAGACATAGAACCCAAGTTGGCCGAGTGGAAAGTAAAGATGTTGGTAGAGAGGTTTAGTGAGGAGATAGTCAGAAGAATATGGGATGAGGTCTTCAGCCATACCTGCAACCTTCATTTTGAGCAACATGCTAAGTCAGACAGATTATCCGAAAATGATCAGCATCAAAGATTGTGCCAACACCTGGAACAAACCCAGGTGACCGACAAGTCCTCGAGTAAGAAAAGCAGCCAGTCGCTGACAAAATTAAATCAAACAAAAGTCGTCTCTGAACTACCGACAGATTTCAAATCTAAAGCTAATCTCAGTCCAGATTGTCTCTTTCCCACATGGAATAAATTAGCCCAAAGTCACGGTTCTCCAAAGAACCCAGGAACCTGCGGGATCCACAGAAGATCCCGCAGCTGTCAGGAAACAGTTCGACATCCAGGCCTCTCCTCTGAGGAGCTGACAGGGTCGCACGGTCTCGTACGGTGGAGCATGTTCGTGCTCAGCCAAACCGCCAAGCTACTCGCGTGCATCCTTTTTGTGGTAGGATTTTTTGTCATCCTTTCTTACTACGATTTCACAACATTCTGTGCGGCCTATCTGTTTTCCCTGGTCTGTTGGTGTTACAAGTGGAAGAGGCTCCGAGAGCCAATGAATAAGGACGTTGGAGGAGAGTTTTCAGAGGAAAAGGATGTTTTAGGGTGTAATGGCTGACATCAAAGGACATTAAAGCTCAGTGTAAAGCCTTCCTGGCAGTCAGATATTTTTGTACGTAAATGTCAGACGGTCAACTACAGTTGACATGTTATCCCCTGGTACTATTAGCCTCCTATTACCCTCTGTTTGTAAGTGATTTTTTTTAGTTTCTTGACTACTTGAATTGATGCGATTAGTCGATCAGTGTGATGTTATGTTGCTTTCAAGGTCTTTATGGTATATTAGCAGATGATAAGAGACTATATTTTTTAGGGGTGATTTCCCGAAAAATACAATTTTTGTTTCTTTTGTTTGTAGACCACACATGCCAAACTCAGGCCCGAGGGCCAAATCTGGCCCCTGGTGTGATTGCATGAAATCATATCAAATGTGTACTAGAGTTGGCCCACCAGTATATAGCCCCTAGTATTAGCAGTGTATGCGCTATGTTATAGCGTATACATTTTGTTTTGTTTTTTGTTGTTGTTTTTGTTGGCCTGTGAAAAAAAGATTTACAATGAAAAGAAAACTCGAGAGGCTACAGATAAAGAGAAATAATAAAATTATAAAATTTTGTTTCCATATGAAAAATTCTACATTACAGATGTGGAGAGAAGGGATAACATGCCGTCAATTTTTCTATTAATATAAAATTTGGCCGTGACTTTGTCCCAGTTTTTTTATTTTGGCCCACTGTGAATTTGAGTATGTAGATAATTGTAAGGGGCCGAGGGTGCTTAGATTTTTTTTTTTTTGTAATTGTCATAGAAATCACTGGTCGTCTTAGTCAAGGCATTAATGTATATATAGTGTGTGTGTGTGTGTAAATGTGTGTGTATTTGCTGTGTTTTATGGGCCCAATATGACTTGACAGTGTATTAAATGGAACACCGTGTTCTTCAATAAAAGAAATTCCTCTGATTAAAGCAGTGGTTCTCATTTTTATTTCTATCATGCCCCCCCCCCCTTGGAAACAGAAACGGTTTCATGCCCACCTCCCCAACCCACACCGAATTAAAATACTATTGGGAACCTGATAACATGTATATTTTTATCTGTATAAACCACTGTATGAGTTGCTGCCACCTTTTATCATTCAAGCATTACAGCAGTGGTACATTTGTATGTGTATGTCCAGCGTGCCATATTCCATTGGAAGCCTCCTACGCCCCCCCGCACCTCACTGTTATTTTACACTAAAATGACTAAATCACCTGTCTCTAAAATCCTGTGCATTTTAAACTGTAAATATGTTAACTTGACAGTTGTCCTAGCTACAATATAGGAGTTGCAGCCAACTAACAAAATTTCAAGAATACATATATGTAAATATATATATATGTAATGTGTATGTCCAGCGTGCCATATTCCATTGGAAGCCTCCTACGCCCCCCCGCACCTCACTGTTATTTTACACTAAAATGACTAAATCACCTGTCTCTAAAATCCTGTGCATTTTAAACTGTAAATATGTTAACTTGACAGTTGTCCTAGCTACAATATAGGAGTTGCAGCCAACTAACAAAATTTCAAGAATACATATATGTAAATATATATATATGTAAGTTATATACATTTATATATATAAACAAAAACATACATGCATATACAGTATATATACATATACTATATATAAATATATACACATATATCAATTAATTTTTAAGCATATACTGTACTAACATACTGTATATATACTGTATATATGTTACATTTTTTGTACAGTTGCACTTGTGAAGGCAATGAAAAGTATGTATCCAATTCCATTCTTTTCCCTTCTATTAAAATCTATTATAGTCTATAAATCAGTTGAGAAATATGATCTAATTTTTCCAACACAAGAAGGGAAATAAATTACTCCCTTTTCCATGAGGTCATAACTTTATCAGGGGGAATTTTACTAAACATCAGCCAGTAGACAAACATACACCCTGGTGGTTCCTGTGCCAGCTGAACCCATTCGTCATATCTAGTTTCTATTGGCTGCCAACAGGAGCAGAGTCACATTCACAAAGCAAGTAGCTCATGTCACCACTGCTGCTCATGTGACTCACATCAATATAAGGTTAAACACACAGGGGAGTAAAAATACTCATCCAGACACTGCATTGTCCACCTGGAAATATTTGAAAAAATTCCAAATAATTTAAGTACAATTTGAGTTTTTTGGAGACAGATAAAGATTTTTTCTTTTGAAATATATATTGTTGGATATTTATTAATAGTCAGGCTCTTTTATCACTTCCTTATCATCTGCATCAAAGAGTTGGGAAGTCTTACTTGTCTGACACTGGGCCTTTTCGAGTCACACTGCACTCCAGTAAAAGTCACTTGATCCCATCTGGGCTATCTTGACCTTTTGTGTGTTGGTTCAAATCCCATGCTGACGCCTTTAGAAAAGCGGCCTGGTGCCAAATGTTGGCGCAGCAGAAGGCTCCTCTTCACTGGCCACAGCCCTGCAGGTCGACACGGTGCAAACCTGGCACGGCCCGACTGTCATGTGCACGGAGGAAATGTAGCACTGACGAGGGGGAAAGTGAGAAACAAGGAGGGAATGTTGATGAGCTATTATGGAACAGATTAATTCCAGTGGAAGATAATTACTCATATGTCTTTAGGTTTATGGGTTTTTTTGTGTGTGTGTTTTGTTTTTAGTTTCGTTAACCAAAATATTAAATCGCTTTTGATTTAAATCCAGGTCTCTTTGATTTACAGCAGGGGTGTCAAACATAGGCCTGGGGTCAAAACTAGCTCACTTGGGGTCTCAATCCGGCCCGTTCGATGAAACACTTCATGATCAGGAAATGTGGTGTAAAATTATATTTCACTGAATAAGGCGATTTATCTAATGTACGTTTTTGCGTGAAAACAAAGGGAAAAAAAGAGTGACTTTTTGTTATTTATAGCTATTTATGTTATGATTGGTCTGGCCCATTTGACATTTAATAAGGTTCTATGCGGTCCCTGAACCCAACTGAGTTTGACGCCCCGACCTATAGCATTTACATTGCCTTGCTTAAATAATAACAAATATGGAACTATTTTAGGAAACCCCAACAGTCAGATTTCATTCTAGAAGAAAAAGTCAATTGTGTGATAACTTAAAAAATGTGACATCTGTTTGCTTTTATCAAACATTTAAAGAGGAAATAGCGCCACCACTGTGACTTTAATTTAAACTAAATGCTACCCAAGACCTCCACTTTCGCAGGCTTTTCACACTTTCACAAGTGAATAATAAAAATGTAGTTATCCAGTACATTTTTTCTACTTACTTCCATCTTATTTAAAAAAAACAACTTTAAACAATTTTTAGCCTTACCTTTACTTACAGATGAAATCAATGGCTGTATCTCTCGGTTTCCCCTCACCTTAGCATTGTGGAGGCTAATGTTTAGTCTCCGTTCCTCATCAAATGTCAAATCGATCCTTGAATTTCCAAAAGTTTTTAAAGAAATCTGTCTTTGAATGTGCTTCTTTGTTAATGTTTCAGGTCACAGTATCCCGAGTTAGTCCAGACGTTATCACACGATGAAAATAAAAGGCAAAGAAAGTAGTAATGGCGGTTTCTTACAGGACAGACACAAAGCAGTGACATGCAGTCGGGGGAGACAGTGCCTCACCAGCCATCATGATAAAAAAAAAACGAAAAAAGTACATAATAGTAATATTTTCCACTGATCTGTGTTAAGGATGCTTTTCCAGTATGACATTTTTGACATTTTATTAAGTAAAAATCGCCGAATTAGAGTATTTTCGGCGAGCTGTGTCTCACTTCTGACTGCGCTATCCAATAGAAACTGGGTCACATGACGCGTGGCGGTTTCTGTTCCTCAGCCAATAAAGTGCAGAGAAAAGTAAACGGGGCGACAAACACTACTCCGCCTCACCTCAAGGGGTGGTACGTGAACTGACAGGTGCTCTCCAGCTGGCGTCAACAGCCAATTAAAAGTCGGCGCCAAGCTGGAGCCAGTAGTGGGTGAAGAACAGCGTTTTCTATGCTTTGCCTGATCCATATTTCTAGACGGAAACATTTCTCAAAACTGGACTTCCGGTCCAAACGGAAGATGATTAGTGATGGAACACCAACGCCGGAGCTAAAAGGTTAGCTTCAAACTACGTGACCGAAGAGTCGTTCATTTTAAACGGAGTGGTACAAACGTAAAGACTGGCTGTATGTCTGTCCTGTAAGAAACCGACATTACTGCTCTCCTTGTCTTGTATTCTCATCGTGTGATAACGTCTGGACTAACTCGGGATACTGGGACCTGAAACATTAACAAAGAAGCCTCGGCAAACATGAAAGATCAGCCACGAACATTCAAAGACAGATTTCTTTAAAAACTTTTGGAAATTCAAGAATCGATTTGGCATTGGATGAGCAACGGACATTAGCGTCCACAATGCTAAGGTGAGGGGAAACCGAGAGATACAACCAGGGACTTCATCTATAAGTAAAGGTAAGGCTAAAAATGGTTTAAAGTTTTTGTTTAAAAAAAAATAAGATGGGAGTAAGTAGAAAAAAAATTAAGTATTCAAGTATTTGATAACAAAATTTTGATAACTAAATTTTTGGCCTAAAAGTTTGAAAAATAACTGAAATTTCTACGTATTTTAAGGTCAAAATTGTGCTGCACTTATCTCTATACTACTGTTAAATTTGTTTATATGAATTGCGTAGACACAAAAAAGGTGCTCTGTCCATTTTGTAAAAGAAACGTTCTTTGTAGGTCAAATGTTCCTGTGTATATGTTTGTGTAAGTGTCATTGAAAAGAATGCTGATGGGACATTACTCGGTGCATGCTGTTGGATGAATAGTGAAATAAGTTGCTCTTTTCGGTTCTTACAATTATAAATCTGACTCCAGAGGAGTCAGTGCGGCACCAGCCACGAACCTGACCGCCCGTCGCTGTTTCACTTAGGGTATATAATAAATACATCATACCTCGTTGATATCAACGAGGTATGACGTATTATGGTGGAGTCTTTGCCACAGCTGTTGTGAAATCAGTAGCTAAAAAAAGAGTAAATGAATAACTTAAAACAGACTAGTAAAGCTAAAAATTTTATTTTGCAAAATCTTCATCAAAAGTCTCAGAACCTTTATTTTTGGTTGTTTTGATAAGGAAGTGCTATTCAATAGTTTTGCCAGCAGATGGCAATGGTGCTCTTTTCAAAAGAACACGATAGCCTGAAACCAAAAAAAAAAAAAAAAAATCAGGATTCATGGTTTTGATTCATCTTGCACACTGTATAAATCATGCAATTATCTCAAGTGACCATTTTTCAGCACCGCTGGCATCAGACCAACCTCAGGATTTAATTTTTCATCATTTGCTGCTTGACCCACACGGTGACAAACAGCATTTTTTTTAAACCCCTGTGGCAAAAAAAATAAAAAATTACTGTGCAGTGA